ATGCTCAAGCCCTATTGTTGAAAGAAGAGGCAGAATGAACCTTTTATATATTGGGATGATTAACAGGGGAAAAATGGGTAACACTGGATATCTCCACTGGATAACCCAGAATTGGGAATAAGGACAAGCAGCAGCTCAGGGGCAGGGTCTTGGAGGTGTCAGGCCCATAAATAGTACAGGGCGGGACATCAAGAGCGCAGCCTGAGGAGCGTACCCCAGATGCTCTTGTGGAGAGTCTCTACAGAACCTGGGCAAGGACCTAGATCTGGGGACAGAGAAAGGCAATTCTGAGTCCACAAATGGGGCCAGAACCTGAGCCACAACATCATGTGACCAAAAGGAATCACAACCATAGTGCAACCCTGGTCTGGGACCAGGGATTTGCCCCATCAAGAAATGGGAGGCTGCAGAATGACTTTTCAGGAAGACATAAGCCCACAGCACGACTGTACAACACAAGGTGGGAAACCTCTAAAAACAATTAATATTGGGGGCTAGCCAGTTAGCTCATTTGGTAAGAGCATGGTGTTGATAACATCAAGGTCAAGGGTTTGGATTGCCATACTGGTCAGCCACCAAAACAAAACAAAACAAACAATTAATATTGGACTTCTCACCAATTTGGACATGTGGTATTCCATGAAAAAACTGAGCTAATACCAGTTCTAATAAAATCCCTCTCAAAAATGATAAAATTATGCATTGAATATCATGAAAAAAAAAATTGGTATCTATTGTTTATGTGTAGGAAACTTTATTAATAAATAGTCACTAAATTCAGTTGAATGTAATACTATTATATTTTCTTCCACCATAAAAATTTTTTTTTAGGCTGGCTGGTTAATTCAGTTGACTAGAGTATGATGCTGATAACACCAAGGTCCAGGGTTTGATCCCTGTACTGGCCACGCACACAAAAAAATTTTTTTTTTTAAAAGGTGACCAGTAAGGGGATCTTAACCCTTGACTTGGTGTTGTCAGCANTCAAATTTTGGTATCTCCTATAGTCTGAATGTTTGTTTCTCCCCAAAACTCATATGTTGAAGCCTAATTACCAATACAACAGTGTTAACTGAAGGGGCCTTTGGGAGCTTATTAGATCATGAGGGTGGAGCCCTCATGCATGGGATTAGTGCCCTTATAAAAGAGGTTCAAGAGAGCTTGTTCATCCCTTCCATCATGAGGACACAGCTAGAAGGTGCCATCGATGAGGAACAAGTCCTCACCAAACATTGAACCTGCCAGCACCTTGATCTTGCACTTCCTAGTCTCCAGAACTATGAGCAATAAATTTTTGTTGTTTATAAATTACCCAGCCTAAGATATGTTGTTACAGCAGCAGGAAAAGACGAAGACAGTATCAAAATGATCTGGTTTCAAATCTCAATTCTGCCCCTTACTATTTGTGTTACGAGTTAGTGTGTCTAAGACTCTAAACTCTCAATCAAGCTCTCACCTATAAAAATAGGGACAATAGAACACACACA